GGTTACTGAAAATATCATGGCATGGGTCAGGTGCACCTTAGTCCTCAAGCTGACATCTTTGCTCTTCAACACTTTTAAAAGGTCTTGTGCAGCAGATTTGCCTAATGCAATACATCATTTGATCTCTTGACTGCTGCTTCCGTGAGTGTTGATAGTTGATCCAAGAAGAATGAAGTCCTTGTAAGTAGGAGGGGGCCAATAAAAAAAGGGGGAAAGGTAGGGGAGCAGGGAAGATGGGGAAAGACTCTGGGAGATATGCATGGGCTTAACAAATAGAGGTGGACTGTGATGTTTGCATAGCCTTGGAATAACAAGGCTCTATGGAGTCCTGGTGTGAAGCTGTGAGCTAATGTTCCAGAGTGCAAAGCTGTTTGAAATGCAAGGTCAGTGGTTCAAGCTCACCAGTTGCTCCTTGGACACCCTATACAGGGTCGCTATGGGTCAGAATCGAGCTGACAGCACTTAACAACAACATGATATAGGGATTGAAACACAGACTGACGGAGAGTAAAGAAGAGGAAATAATGTTAAGAATTTGACTGTTCACAGAAAGACAAATATTGCATAACATCATTATCGTAAAAGCTTTAAAAAAGATGCCCATATTAAAAGGGGAAAAAAGAAGAAATTTTTCTGTTGAGACAGTAAGGCAAAGGTTGGGAGACAGTAACATCATAGCTTGGGTCAGGAAGGGGAGGGCTATATACAAGGGAAAAAGGGATGGAAGAACAAGGAATATAGGGGAGCACGTAGGAAGGTTTGCATGGGCTAAATGGGATAGAGGTAAATAGTGATATATACTCAATCTTGGAACAACAGGGCTCTGAGATACAAGAGTGAGGCATAATCTGAATGGGTAAAAGAGAGGAAAATAATGTTAAAGTGATTGTATTATCCGTATTGGTTTATCCTGTCTACTAATAAAAAATAGACACCTGAGGGGGAGAGAAAGGAGTATCAGGAAATATGATTACAGAAAGCTTGTAAGTCCATCTTCAGCTTATAACTGATTGGGATATCTAAAAGAAGTTCTAGAACGTGCCCAGTAAAAAATGCTTCTTGTGGAGCCTTTGTAGTGTATGGGGCCTTAAATGGAATCCTGAACCCCATAGAGAACCTTCTGAGATGGGACATGCAGACCAACCCAGAGCAGCTAGAGAACAGAAGATACTTCTTGAAAGAAAAACCAGCAGGAAAAGAAAAAAACTGTTTGGCTATTATAAGAACAAGCAAGCTGTTCGCTTGGGAGCCATCAAGACAAGCCATCAAGTCCCTTCAGGACCAACTTCCTTCTAAGACTGAAACTTGAAGGCAACACGAGTAGGCTTTGCAAGCTTGCTGGTGACCTCGTAGGTCTACTTTTGAGTGGAAGTGGGGGAAAGGCAGTAATGAAAACATAGGCTGAGCTTGACCATGGTCTATAGACTCCTGTTGACCTTGAGATGAGAGCAAGAAGACAAAGGGCTGGATGGTCTGAAGTTTGGGGAGACTTGGGAATCACGGAGTCCATGCACACTGTCCTAGCCACTGGGAGCTAGAGCTGAGACTGAACTAACTAACTGATATGAAGTCAGGGCAGGTGCACAAGAATGCCCAAAACTGCAGATAGTACTCATCTGACATAGCTTGGATGGCTTGATGATTAGTACTCGACTAGAGGAAGATAAAGAAATTTGATACAGGAAAAAAGTGTAAACTGCTACAATTTAATGAACTTAACGTTAACTTATGGAACTAGTAGCTCAAAATACCAACAAAGAGGGACGGAGTCTTCACATCAAGGATAAAGCCTATCCTCTCAGTACACAAGGTTGATTGGGATGGGCAACTTAGACAGTGGTTACCTAAAATGGGGGGGGGGGGGCAATAAAGGCACAAAATGGCTGGCTTACAAGTTTTCAAGAGGGAGTTTAGTTTCAGAGTGTGCAGGGGAAGGTAGAATCCACACTGAATAGTTTTCATCTTGTCTAGATGGATCTGGTGAAAGGAGATGAGGATAGGATTCTTTTGATTCCATAGTGAGTATTAGTATCATGACTAATTATGACTGTCTCAAGTATAAAGTTAGAAGTTGCATGACAAATAGGGAGGGGTGTAGTTAATCTTTCATTCCAGGAACAGAGGACCCTAGGACTGTCAAGAGGGGAGACCATGAGTGGAACGTGGGATCCTAACCAGAAAAGCAGGGACACCAGAAACGGAGGCAGAAGTGGATGGTATGGAGAGACAGAGCAGCTGAGGACTCTAGACTCAAGGAAAGAGAAAGACTGTGTGCTGGTGGGCAGGGGACGGTCTATAAAATGTGCCCTTTGGTTATTTAAATAATTATATATTCCTGCATGTTTTTGTGTACATAAAAAAAAGGGGGGGGTGTTGGTGAACAGAGGCAAATACTATTAACCGATGGCGTATGGAAGGGATTGTAATCAGTGCAATGAAACAAAATGCAATTGGTTGAGCGCAAAACTGGTGTTCTCCCATGTAAACGATCACTCAATTCACAATAAAACCTTTGGGGGAAAAAAAAATCAATTCAAGTTTCAACACATTAAAAACAAAAAAGAAAACAATGACTTACCCCAGCAAACTCCCCAGCGTGCAGAACTCAACTTACAAAGAGACCCAGGTGGCAAGATTTTGCTAACTGGGTAGTCCAGACATGCCTTGTTGGTGATGCACCAAAGACACTGAAAGAGAGAATCAATGGGTGAAGGTCAATATGAAATGTGAAAACCACTCCTCACCGCCTCATGTCCTGTGAGCATGCCATCAGTCTGGATGTCTGAAAACAACAACGGACTCCCAACCAGACTGTCCTCAGTCCTGTTCCCTCTACCCTGTTCTCAGCACAGCAACCAGTGGCTCTTGTATGCTCCCACTCAGAGGGAAAGTCAAGAACCACGGAAGCCTCCAATTACTCTCCTATGCAGAGTTAGCTTTCTCCCAGGGCTTTTGCACAGCCTGCTCACTTTGCCTAGGTACTCTATCCCTGCATATCTGGAAGCTTCTTCAGCTCCTTTGACAAATGTTACCTCCCTTACTAGGCCCAACCTTACAGCTTACCTCAAATTACAACCTTGCTCACCTCCTTCTCCTGTTGGTTTGTTTTTCTCCTAAAGCACCCATCCACACCCATTACCCTCTTCAGGACTGTGTATAGAGAGTAGGATGCATTGTTTGCATTATCCAAGCACCCAAGACCAAGTCTGGCCTGTGGTAGGAGCTCACAACGTATTCATTCAACAGACAATTATGATAACAACAATCTTGGTTTTTGGTCAGGTATCTTGCATTTCACCTGAGTGGGTGGGTATCATTGCATCTAGTTTAAAGGTGATGTAATTAAGGCTAACCAGTGAGATTTAGACAGCACTCAGAACCCACCTGACATGCAACAACAGTTCACAATGCAGCCCTGAGTATACTTAACACTTCTGGCGTGTCATGGGGACTAGAGTGTGGTTGAGAGCATCGGTAGGCACTGGGGGAGATCGGTAGTCATTGATGCCCAATGGACCCACAGATGAGGGGCAACACCAACTGTGCATGAGGTAGTATCTACAATGCTGCCAGAGGCACAACCTTGCATTGTATTTTAAATATTGACATTAGCAATTTGACTGAATTCGTAAGATAAAAAATCATGACTTTTTGTGCCAGGTTAGGATGAAAGTCTGTAAGAAGAACAATTCAGAGGAGAAAAAGGTTACCCAGGACTGTTTACAGTGCCTACATTAGTGTCTTGTGTTTATAATGGTTCAGGCTATAAAACAGCCTCTTCTCCCACAGGAACTAAATAATGTGTAAAGCCAACCACTCAGGTGATCCCGGTAGTTCTCCGTAAGATAGCTTACTATGCCAAGAAAGGACAAAATAACCTTTAGTGACCTGTCATGAGAAATACCTCAAATCCCAGATCAAAGACCCTTAAAACATACATGTGACTCTGGCTTTAGAAAGTCTGTCTACCTGAGGTTTACATGACAATTCGTGCTACTTACGGAGACATTTTTCAGGCACTCTTCGCAGGTTTTGTTTGAATTTTCTGAGCAAGCTGTGGGGAAAGATGAGTAAGTTAATCACTGGGAGTCATGAGACATAAACACTAGATCCCAAGGGGTAGGGGGCATTCCTGAATCCACTTGACTCTGACCCAAAGCCACAAAATTAGTCCCCTGGGAAACACGCCTCCTTCGGAGCGCAGAGACATACAATGAGCAGATGTTTACTGAATGCTGCTTAGAGCATGGCACCAAGGGCACACAAGCACAAACATGCTCCCGCCCTCATGGGGTCTCCTGGGAAAAGATGACTCAAGTCACAGAAGGCGGTGTTTTAGGAGCTCAGAAAAGGCACAATGCGTATTCGGATCATCACCAACGGACTGGAACCTGCAGCTGGGTAGGAGATACTCTCTGAGACCAGAGGCTCTGTCCAGTACAGAGGCAATGCCAATAACTCTCACAGGAAGCCTGCCAGGGTTGTCAGAACCACACTTAAGCTCCTGTGACTGACAACAAGGCCTCAGTCTCCATGAGATCTCCCCAAACAGCAGAGTGGGAAGTGCCACAGAATCTGCCAATCATGTGGGAGTCCCTGGGACTCTAACTACCACTCAGCACTGCTGCTACAGAAAGGGGTCACAGCTTTGGAACTCAAGCTAACAGGAAGAGAAATTGTTGTTACGTGCATTTGAGTTGGTTCCAACTCACAGTGACCCTACACACAACACAACGAAACACTGCCCTGTCCTGTGCCACTCTCAACAATCGTTGCTACGTTTGTGCCCATCATCGCGGCACTGCTGTCCCTGTGCCAAGCTATCTCACTGGGAGGTGGGAGAGGTGCCTTCCTCTCTCTCACTGATTTTCCACGTTACCTAGTATGATGTCCTTCTCCAGGAATTGGTCCCTCCTAATAATATGTCTGAAGTGTGAGAGACAAAGTCTGCCCATCTTGGCTTCTAAGGAACATTCTAGTTGTCCTTCTTATAACAGAGATATATATATTTTTTTTTTTCTAACAGTCCATGGTACTTTTAATATTCTTCTCAACACTGTAACTCAAACACATCAATTCTTCTGTGGTCTTCCCTATTCACTGTCCAAAACTCACATGCATATGAAGCTACTGAAAATACCATGGCTTGGGGCAGGTGCACCTTAGTCCTCAAACTGACATCTTCACTTTTAAACACTTACAGAGGTCTTGATTCACCTAATGCAATACATCTTTCAGTTTCTTGTCAACTGCTTCCATGATTGTTGATTATGGATCCCAGAAAAATGAAGTCTTATGATAACTTCAACCTTTTTTCCATTTATTGTGATGTTATATATTGGTACAGCGGTGAGGATATTTGTTTTCCTTACATTGAGTTGCCACCCATACTGAAGGCTGTGGTCTTTCATCTTCATCAGCAAGCATTTTAAGTCCTCTTCACTTTCAGCAAGCTAGGTGGTATAATCTGCATATCTCAGGTTATTAATGAGTCTTCCTTCAATCCTAATGCCACATTCTTCATATAATCCAGCTCTTTGGTTGTTTGCTCAGTGTACAGACTAGATTAGTTTGGTGCAAGAATACAACTCTGGCAAACACCTTTCATAACTTTACACCATTCAGTGTTCTCATGTTCTGTTCAAACCACCTCTTGGTCTATGTACAGGTTTCTCATGAACACAATTTAAGTGTTCCGGAATACTCAATTTCTGCAATGGTGTCCACAGCTTGTCATGATCCACACAGTTGAAAGCCTCTGTGTAGTCAATCAAGCACAGGTAAACATTTTTCTGGTATTCTCCGCTTTCAGCCAAGATCCATCTGACATTAGCAATGATATCTCTCGTTCCACGTCTTCTTCTGAATCCAGTATGAACCTCTGGGAGTTCCCTATCAATGTACTGTTGCAGCTGTCTTAAAATTAGCAAAATTTTACTTGCATGCAACATTAATAATATTGTCCGATGATTTCCACATTCCATTGGTTCACCTCTCTTTGGAATGGGCACTATTGTTGATAAGGGCTGTCGAGTCGGTTCTGACCCATAGCGACCCTGTATAAGGTTTCCGAGGAGTGACTGGTGAGCCTTAACTGCTGATCTTGCAGCTCAAATGGCTTTGCAGTCTGGCGCATTAGCCCACAGCGCCACACTAGGAACGGGCATTAATACAGATAATTTCCAATCAGTTGATCAGGTAACTGTCTTCCAAATTTCCAGTGCTGCATCAGTGTGTTGAAAGATTTCAATCTGTACCCCATCTATTCCTGAAGCCTTGTTCTTTGCCAAAGGCTTCAATGCACCTTGCGCTTCTTCCTTCAGTACCATTGGCTTTTGATCATATGCTACCTCTTGAGATGTTTGAACATCAACCATTTTTTTTTGTTACAATGACTCCATATATTTTTTTCCATCTTCCTCTGAATCATTCAATCTTTTGCCCATAGAATCCTTTAATATGGCAAGTCGAGGCTTTAACTTTTTCTTCAGTTCTTTCAGCTTGAGAAATGCTGAACAAGTTCTTCATTTTTGGTTTTCTAACTCCAGGTCACTGCTTACTTCATTAGATTATTTGACTTTGTCTTCTTGGGCTGCCCTTTGAAATATTCTGTTCAGCTCTTTTATTTCATTTCTTCCATTTGCTTTAGCATCTCTACAAGTAGTACAAGTTTCAGAATCTCTTCTGATACCCATTTTGGTCTTTTCCTTTGTTCCTGACTTTTTTAATGACTTTTTGCTTTCTTCCTGTATGATGTTCTTGATGTCATCCCACAACTCTTCTGGTCTTCGTTCTTTTGTGTCTAATGTATCAAATCTGTTCTTCGAACGATCTCTATATTCAGTTGGGATATGTTCAAGGTCATACTTTGGCTCTCATGGACTTGTTTTCATTTTCTTTAGCTTCAGCCTGAACTTGCATATGAGCAATTGATGGTCTGTTCCACAGTCTGCCCCTGGCCATGTTTTGGCTGCTGATACGGAGCTTTTCCACCATCTCTTTCCACAGATGTAGTCGGCAGTCAATTTGATTCCTGTGTCTTTTATCTGGTGTGGTCCATGTGTATAGTTTATGTTGTTGGAAAAAAGGTATTTGCAATGAATAAATCACTGGTTGCAATACTCTACACCATGCGATCTCCAGCATCAGTTCATGCACCAAGGCTGTATTTTCCAACTGCTATTTTGTGCTCCATTCACCAGTAATTATCAAATTTTGGTTTTTGTAGGCTTGACTGCACGTTTGATCAATTTCAGGCTGAAGAAGTTGGTAAAATTTCTCAATTTTATCATCACTGGCTTTGATGGTTGTTGTGTAAATTTGAATAACAATGATATTAACTGTTCTTCCTTGTAGGCCTATGAATATTATCCTATCACAGACAGCATTATACTTCAAGATAGACCTTGAATGTTATTTTTGATGATGACTGTGACACCATTCCTATATAATGTCATTCTCCTGGCATAAGAAACCATATGATTATCAGACTCAAAATGGCCAATACCAGTCTATTTCAGTTCACTAATGCCTAGAAAATGATCTTTATATGTTCCATTTCATTCTGACAACTTTCAGTTTTCCTAGATTGATACTTCATACATTCCATGGTCTGAATATTAATGAATGAATGTTCACAACTGTTTCTCCTCACTTTGAGTTGTGCCCCATCAGCCATTCATGTCATCACAGTCAACTCTACTTCGAGGAAGCAACTCTTGCCAGTCGTAGTTTGAGTGCCTTCCAACTTGATGGGCTTATCTTCTGGCACTATATCTGACAATATTCTGGTGGTAGCTGACAGTGTTCCACCACTATTCATACGGTTTTCAGTGGGTAAACATTCAGAAGCAGATTGTTTCTCCTTCATTCTAGTCTGTCTTAGTCTGAAAGCTCAGCTGAAACCTGTCTACCATGGGCATACCATGCTGGTATTTAAAATATCATTGGCATAACTTCCAACAGCATCATAGCAACACGTAAGCCACCACGGCACAACAAACTGATGGACACATGGTGGCAGAAAAGAAGGGCTGAACAAATAAAAGATCTCCAATATACTGTCATGGAGCTGCTGATGGCTTACTCCCAACTATCCCTTATTCACAAACATAGACCACCTCACACACATACACACGCTGAAAAGAGCTCTGTGCTTAATGCCAATAATCAGCAGGGAAGTGAAGACTCAAAACTGAACAAGATACAACCCCACCCCTACAAGAATGGCTACAATGACAATAATGACAGTACTAAGTGTTGGTGAAGATGGAGCTGCTGGAAGGCACCCAGCTGGTGATGGGTGTAACAGAGTTCAACTGCTTTGGTAAACAACCAGACAGCTGCTCACAAGACATCCACACATCTATCCCGACCCAGCAGTCCCACTTAGCCATGGTTAAGGATTTATCAGAATCTCAGAGGGAGGTGTATTATGGGTTTTTTGGAAGTTCACTTTAAAAACATGAAAATTTCAGAATCACAGATTCAATCCGTCATGAGAAGTTAACGAAAACTAACAACCACTAACTACTTCAATTTCTTGGGAGCTACTGTATGCTGAACAAATAATCTGAGAAACTGGGTTATATGAAGAAAAACATAGCATCAGGATTGGAGGAAGACTCATTAACAACCTGCAATATACAGATGATACCACTTTGCTTGCAGAACATGAAGAGGACTTAAAATACTTACTGATGAAGATTAAAGAGCACAGCCTTCGGTATGGATTGCATCTCAATGTAAAGAAAATACAAATTCTTACCACTGGCCAATAAACAACATTCTTATCAATGGAGAAAGATTGAAGTTGTCAAGGACTTCATTCTTCTTGGATCAACTATCAACATTCGCAGGAGCAACAGTCAAGAGATCAAACGACGTATTGCATTAGGCAAATTTGCTGCACAAGACCTTTTAAAAGTGTTGAAGAGCAAAGATGTCAGCTTGAGGACTGAGGTGCACCTGACCCAAGCCATGGTATTTTCAGTAACCTCATATGCATGCAAAGTTGGACAGTGAATAATGAAGATCGTAGAAGAATTGATGCAT